ACAGGGAAAAATTGAAAGCATTCCTGCTTAGAACTGGAACTAGAAAAGGTTGCCCACTATCACCACTTCTATTCAACATAGTGCTGGAAGTCCTTGCCAGAGAAATCAGGCAAGAGAAGGAAATCAAGGGTATCCAAATGGGGAAAGAAGAGGTCCAACTATCATTCTTTGCTGACAGTATGATCTTATATCTAGAAAATCCCAAAGATTTAACCAAGAAACTCCTGTAATTGTTCAATGAATTCAGCAAAGTCTCAGGCTACCAAATCAATGCACAGAAATCAGTAGCTTTCATATATGCCAAAACAGTGAAGTTGAGAATCAAATTAAAGGCTCAATATCTTTCACAATAGCAACAAAGAAAATAAAATACCTAGGAATATATTTAACTAAGGAGGTGAGAGACCTCTATAAAGAGAACTTCAAAACACTGAGAAAGAAATTACAGAGGGTGGGAACAAATGGAAAAATATATCATGGTCTGGATCAACAGAATCAACATTGTTAAAATGTCTATACTACTCAAAGTGATTTACAGATTCATACAATCCTTATTAAAACACCAATGTCATTTTTTGCAGACCTCAAAAAAATAGTTCTATACTTCATGTGGAACCAGAAAAGACACCAACTAGCTAATGCAATCCTACATAATAAGAATAAATCAAGAAGCATCACTTTACCAGACTTCAAGCTATACTACAGGGTATAGTAACCAAAATAGCATGGTACTGGCACAAAAACAGAGACATAGATCTATCAATAAAAACAGAGGACACAGATATGAATCCATCCTCATATTGCCATCTGATCTTGGACAAGGAAGATAAAACATACACTGGGGTAAAGAATCCCTATTCAATAAATGGTGTGGGGAAAACTGGATAGCCACATGCAGATGGCTAAAACAGGATTCATATCTCTCACCCCTCACAAAAATTAATTCATGATGGATAACAGACTTAAATCTAAGGCATGAAACTATAAGAATTCTAGAAGAAAATGTTGGAAAAACTCTTATAGACATTGGCCTAGGCAAAGAATTTAAGACCTCAAAAGCATTCACAACAACAACAAAAAAAAATAAATGAAAATAAAGGCTGGGCATGGTGGCTCATGCCTGTAATCCTAGCACTCTGGGAGGCTGAGGTGGGCAGATCGCTCAAGGTCAGGAGTTCAAGACCAGCCTGAGCAAGAGTGAGACCCTGTCTCTACTAAAAAAAAAAAGAAATTAATTGGCCAACTAAAAATATATAGAAAAAATTAGCCGGGCATGGTGGCTCATGCTTGTAGTCCCAGCTACTCTGGAGGCTGAGGCAGGAGGATCACTTGAGCCTGGGAGTTTGAGGTTGCTGTGAGCTAGGCTGATGTCATGGCACTCTAGCCCGGGCAACAGAGTGAGACGCTGTCTCAAAAAAAAAAAAAAAAAAAAAAAGAAAGAAAAGAAAAAAAGAAAAGGAAAGAAAAGAAAAATAAATGGGATTTGATCAAATTAAATAGCTTCTGCATAGCCAAGGACACAATCAATAGAGCAAATATACGACCTACAGAATGGGAGAAAATATTTGGATGCTATATATCCAATAAAGGGCTGATAATAAGAATCTACAAAGAACTGCAGCAAATTAACGAGAAAAAAATTAAGCAACCCCATTAAAAAGCGGGCAAAAGACATGAACAGAAACTTTTCAAAAGAAGATAGATTAAGGCCAACAAACACACGAAAAAATGCTCCACATGAAAAAATGCTCAACATTGCTAATCATCAGGGAAATGCAAATCAAAACCACAGTGACATATCACCTAACTCCAGTGAGAATTGCTTTTATCCAAAACAACAGATGACAGCGAAGATGCAGAGAGAAAGGAACACTTACACACTGTTGAGGGACTGCAAACTACTACAACCTCTATGGAAAGTAGTACGGAGATACCTCAACAACTAAAAGTACACCTACCATTTGATGCAGCAATCCCACTAGGTAGTTACCCAAAGGAAAAAAGACATTCTATTAAAAAGACACTTGCAATCGAATGTTTATAGCAGCACAATTCACGATCACAAAGATGTGGAATTGACCCAAATGCCCATCAATACCTCAATGCATTAATAAATTTTGGTATATGTATACTATGGAGCACTACTCAGTCATAAAGACAAAAAGATATGGAAATCTAGTATCTTTTGTAACAACCCGGATGGAACTGGAGGCCATTCTTGCTAGTGAAGTATAGCAAGAATGGAAAAACAAACACCACATGTACTCAATACTAACTTGAATTAATCGACCCACACTTTTGTGCACATAGGGAAGTAAAATTCAAGGGAAATCAAGCGTGTGGGAGGGGGGAAGGAGGGGATGAGTAAATTCATACCATAAATTCATACAGGTATAATGCACAATAACTGGTTGAAGGGCACACTTATAACTTTCACTCAAACTGTACAAAAGCAAATTATGCAATCAAAATGTATGTACTCTGGTAATATTCTAAATAAATAAATAAGTGTTACAGCTGTTTTAAACTTGAGTCCCTCTCAGATGATAAAGCCTGTGACCTTATGCCTCAGGTCCCCATCCATTAGATGAGAGAGTTAATCAAATGCCCTGCTTAAAACAGGGGGAAGAATGTTAGGTAGCCTGCTTTCTTTTCTATCCACTCCTTGATTTACTATTCTCAATGCTAAAGTATCATTTAGAAGCCATGGTGTTTCTTGTGTTTATTGACAATATATAAACAAAATGTGTTTTTGTCAGCTTGTTCAATCCCAAATTTTCCTACAGTTCAGTAAAATAAATTACCATTGGAATCACACATACCTTTTAAGCACAATGTATATACAAAAAAATGGATGAGCAGTTTTGACTATACTTGTGCATTTAGCCAAGTATAGCACTTCCCTGAACCACTTTGTCCTTTTGACATCTGACTAAATGTCAGGGGCCTCTTTCCATTTGGGGAGAATTTCCTCCTCCCTTTCCTTTCCTCCCATTCCCCACAGCCATCATTTCTTCACTTTTACCATAGTTCCAATACCTTATTAGCACTTGTTGCAAAGTCTACCCTTTGCTCCCTTCCCTTTCTCTCCTTCATATATCCCTTCCTAACCTAATCTCAAGTGGTGAAAAGGAGAAACTACCATTTAAGCAGTAATCAGCAAAATACTTTTCCCTCTAGATATTAACTTAGTGGACCATTGTGGATAATATATTTGGAAAAATTTTAGTCTCATCTCTGGTTTTTGTTTTTGTTTTTTGCTTCTTGAAAGAGAACTGGTGCAGAATATGGAATTGATCTTAAGTCTAAGGCATTTCACTCCCACAGTTGATATATGACACATTTATTAACATCCAAGAAAAGCAAAGGTATATATATGTTGCCAGAAGGCTATTATGAAATATTTTAAGGTTCCAGTTCTTATAATTTCTGGCTAATAGATGAAGTTCTCTATAATACAAAAAGCTATATTTTGTTGCTTATTGATAGTGCTACAGCTTACTTTTAAAAGTTCCTAAATGATCAAACTTTTGAATAAAATGGAAAATTTTTCACTTTAATAACACAAACTCCTTGATGATAATGATTTGATTTGTTACTCTTACCGAACTAATTTCTTCCTCCTACATACACCCTACAAACTTTGTTTATACTGTTATACTATTACACTGTTACTGTACTGCTCATCCTGAATTAAAGTGTGGCTGTCCGTTTCTAGAGTCTCACCATGTGATTGGCATGTGGCTGTACTACAGCAGAAAGAGCAATGAAGCTGGTATTAGAATACCTGGATTACAACATTTGTTGTGTTACTTAGCTGTGTGCTTTCATGACTTAATGATATGGATTTTTGTGCTGCTGCCAAATATGAACTAGTTTGGTACATTGTAAACTCAAAATATATGATCTCTACAACATTTTAGTAGGTGTGGAGAAGACAGACTATTTAAAATGGAACATTTTGGACAAAATGTCACCATAAACCTCAATAAATTTCTTCAAATTTCTTGAGACTCGGTTTTGGCATCAAAATATATATATCATGCCTACCTCACAGGATTGTTTAAAGGTTAACTGAAGTGTTATGTGAAAGAGCCTAGCCCAGTGTCTGGAAAATGGATGATGTTAATCCATGTTTTATTAGGTTGGCAGGCTTGCCCACCCCCCCACCAAAAAAAGCCTCCAAAATTCAATATACATATTCTATATTCTGATTCATCTTTTAAGAAACAGCTCAAAAGGCACCGCTGTACAAAACCTTTCCAAACAACTTCAGGCAGTATAGCCCTTTGGTAGGAGCACTGGGCTTTTGGAATCAGAAGAGACCTCCAAATGTAAAACCATATCTACCATTTAGTAGCTCCCTGACCTTGGACAAGTTATTTAATCTCTCTGCATCTAGATTTCCTATCTGCAAAATGAGATCATCGTTGTACATACCTCATAGGGTTGTAGAGGATTAAATGAGACATGTATATAGAGCACTTATTACAGTCCCTGACATTTACAAAATCCTCCATGAGTACTACATAGAAGTAGTAATAGAGTTTCCTCTTGAGTAAAATGTTAATAAAAAATGCTTCCCCTGCCTTTCAGTGCTGTGGCAAAGTTGTGACGCAAAAGCCTTTTAAAGTGTCAATTGTTAAACGGTAAGAGATTGGTATATACCGTATATTTTGGGCAAAGAGCTAACTTTACTTTGATAGAATATGCTTTCCCTCGCCCGCCTGCACTGGCGGTAATAATACCCAGCTTAATTAATAGGAAATTAAGTCAGAAGCTGCGTCCCCCAGATAGAAGCCGCGGGCGCCGAGAGCGCAGTACTAAGATCAGCACCGCAGAGCGGACCTCGGTAATTCCCCGGAGTTCACCTCGAACAGCCCCCTCCCCTCCGAGCCGCGCAAGCGTACACTGAATTTGCTCGTCTCTCTCATACCCCCGCCTCCAACAACCGTCCCCCCCGCCCCCCTCCCGCGTCCCCCCCGCCCCCCTCCCGTGTGCCCAACACGCAGGCGCGTTTCCTCAAATCCCGTCCCTACCCCCCTCCTCCTCCTCTCTCTTCATTTCGTTCCCCCTCCTCTTCCAGCACCTCAGCAGGTTCAAACTCTTCTCCGTGAGAGTGGCGGCGATCGCCAGGTCACGTGATGAGCATCCTGCTGCCCAACATGGCGGAGTTCGACACCATCTCGGAACTGGAGGAGGAGGAGGAGGAAGAAGAAGCAGCAACGTCGTCGTCGTCGCCGTCGTCGTCGTCGGTATCTGGGCCCGACGATGACGAGGATGATGATGATGAGGAGGAGGAGGAGGAGGAGGAAGAGGAGGAGGAGGAAGAGGAGGAGGAGGAAGAGGAGGAGGCGCCGCCCCCGCCTCGGGTAGTGAGCGAGGAGCATCTGCGGAGATATGCCCCCGACCCTGTATTGGTGCGGGGCGCCGGCCACATCACTGTGTAAGCGAGAAGGGGCCACGGGGTTTGAAAAGGCTGAGATTTGGCAACAGTGGAATGAAGGAGCCAAGGGCCTGGGGAGGGGGGAGGGCTAACTGAGGCATACAGTTAGTAAAGGACACCTGGTCTAAATGGAGAAACTGAGGATGGATAGGTGTAAAGGAAGTGGGGAGAGTATAAGCGTGATGCAACAACGCCAGGTAAAAAATGAGTATAGGACAGGGAAGTTAGGGGGTTGGGAGCCAGAGGGATTGGAGTAGGGGCGAACCTCCTTTCTTGTATGTATGCGGGCAAGTGAATAGTCTCCTAAACTGCAGGATGTACTAGAAGGTTCTTTGCTGCCAAGATTGGTAGCTAGTGGAAAACAGCGACTGCTATGACATGTGACAAGAACTAGGCTTGGCTTCTTCAAAACAGAAACACAATATATTTTGTGAATAGTATTATGGAATGTCCATTCACCCACATATTCATCTATCCATTCTTTCTATCTAATCTTTCCTTAAATATCACACCATTAGAGGTTCAGGTTGAGAGGCAGCTATGGACAGTAGAAAGAGCAATGGATTGAGAGGGCTCTTAGATGCTAGTCCCAGTTTTGCTTCTTATTGGTCCTGTGACCTTGGTCAGGTTGCTTCCCATTTCTGGGCCTTGATTTCTTCATCTGTAAAATAAAGAGTTTGGAATACTAGATGGTTTCTAAAGCTTTTCACCTGTAAGAGAATTTAAGATACCTCCAGGGGATTTTGTATGCCCAAATATTAAATATGCAAACATTAAATATATATGGAAATTTAGTCCTCCAGGAGCTGAAGATGATTTGTTGAAAATTTATCCAGGGTGGCCTTTTAAAATATTGAACTCTTGGATTATGTTTGAGAAAACAAAATGGGGAGGGACTTCATAACATAGTAGTTGCGATGCAAAAGAAAAAATGATGGTTCTCTGGGCTTTAAAGAGTGCTTTTTCATTTTTATTTGGTTGAACTGCAAATGCTTGGAAATTTGAGTATTGTGTTCATCCTCTTAACTATGCAGTCATTTACTGCATTTTCAAAATAGGCCTATTCTTTGTTATTGTGTCATGCTGCCTCTGATTTTGATGATGGCTCACCTAATCCCTTTGACTTTCAATTGAGTTCATAATGTATTATAAATCATATATTAGAATATGTACTACCTCCCCCATCGTGTTAGCTTTAATTTTTAGCATGCTGAGTATTATCATTGTGATATACTTTTGTAATCTTTTCATGAAATGTATTAACAGAGATTTTGAAATTGTGGAAGGGCTTGGGGAGAGTTTTAGACCTGCTTTTTGATTAGGCGATTTTAAGATAATTTTTCCTGGTCCAAGAATTCTGCAGATAGCTTACAGTGTTCAGATGCCAACTTACTGCGCTATTTTACTTCCTTTCATCACTAGGGAGACAATTTATTACTCTAAGTATTATTCTGGCACCAAAGGTTACTTTCATGCTGATTATTTCACATGACTCTATTCCAATCCCTAATTTCATACTCCAACACTGTACCCCCACATTATTTTCTAAAATTCTGACGATGGAGAAAGAGCAAGGAAACAGAATTTAAATTCCCTGAAACTTATTTGTAATTCCCTTCTACCCTCCACGCAACCATAATAAAGTACTTACCAACCTGTTTTCTTCATGAAAAGTGGAGCACTGACACTTGCCATGCCCAGGCCCTTATGATTGGTGTAATGTCCCTCCCAGCTTAAAAATTCTGGAATTAGGAGTGTTAAGTAGTAGTGCTGGTAGTAACTGTTGGTATTAATTGACTGAAGCAAAACCTGAAAAGTAGTGTACCAGTACTTGAATCACTAACCAATGTATAGTTTGGAAACTTTAGTTTTATTGTATGCATTCTCTCATCTAGAAAGTGTATTTGATGTTAAATGTCTGGGATTTGAAAAAAGATTACATGTTTAGGAGAAAGTTTTACTAGATCTGAGAAACAGGTCTTTCTATGGCAGTAAAGCCTTACTTACATCAGGTAAAGTAAAATACTTATGAAACAGTTAATCTTATTTTGAGACATCTAAAATATCATCTTCTGTTTCATTTTTTTCTGGCATAGGAATGTTAGAGTTACCCTAAATTACATGCCCTATTGGAATGAAATATTTCTTATTCTCGGCCAACCCTGAATTTTTTCCATTCTTTGTGCAGTCTTTTATTGTATAGAGGACTTTGTTTCCTTTCAGAGTTTAAAATTCGAGTTATCACCTCAGACTCTATATATATTAAGCCCAACATTTTTCTCTCCCCACATTGTTTGTGCTTTCCAATTGCCTCATTTCTGACCCTGATACTACCATTTTAACCTCTCAGTATAACACCTAAAATCTTTGAGATATTTTGACTCTTCCTTCTCCTTGATTTGCCCTATGCTAGTCTGTCTCCAGAATTATGTCATCAGACCTTTTGAAATGTCGCTTAGATTTTTCATTTTCTCCATTCCTATTTGGCACTACTCTAGTTTGAGTTGCCATCATCTCCTGCTTAAATTATTGCCATAGTCTGCTGCCTCTCCCCACTCCAATCCATCGTGCATGCTTATGCCAAGCTAATTTTCTTAAAACACAATTTAATCATGTCACTTCCTACTGCAAACCTGCATTGGATCTTAATTAGGCCTGAGTTCCTTTGCCTTCTTCCTGCAACCTTAGAGTTCAAGGAGTCCCTCCATTTGTCCAGCTTTCAGCCCTCCATTTGTACCTTCCATACCTTCTCTTAGATCTTGCTCCATCAGGCAGCCTCAATCCCTCCAGTATTCCTCTTTCTACCTCTCTAGTAGCTCAGCCTTTAAACATATTCAGTCTAAATTTTTAAAAACAAAGTAAGACAAAAGCCTTCCTATACCCATATTCCCTTTAGTTACTGTTTAATCTGACTTCCTTCTCCAAATTTCTAAAGAGTAGCTATGTTCACCTTGTCTATTTTCTCTTCGCCCCTCTGTGATCTACATTCTGCTACCACAACCACAGAGGAGCTGTCCTCAGTCGTAATCACTGTGACCTTCTTGTCGCTAAATCAGTGGACATCTTTCATTCCCTATCCTCCTGGTCCTCTCTACTGCATTCGACATCTATGATGACTCCTTTTTTCAGAAGCTTCTACTCTGGGGTCACAAACACACAGGCCTGCAAAAGCAAGGCAGGTCACAGAAGAGAGTGCAGCATTAAGGAGAGATGGGGGCTTGGTTCAGCTGGAAGGTATCTATCTTTTATAAAGGTGTTCAAATTCTGATTTAAGAAAAAAAAAGACATCTTTCCAGCCAAACAAACCTGAGAACTCCTTGGCCACTTCACTCTTCTGGTTCTCCTTATACTTTTCTGGCTATTCCTTAACTGCCTCATTCATAAGCTTCTCCTCCTCTTTTGCCCCTTAAATATCAGTGATCTCTAGAGTTTTGTTCTCAGACTGATACTTTTCCTATTCCCTACTCTCCGTGGGTGGTCTCATTTTACCCCTCATGTTTTCAATTATTTGATGTCACTCAAATATGGATTTTTTGTTTCAGACTCTGCTCGGGGTCTTATCTGAGCTTTTCTCAGTGGCCCACTGTCATCTTAAATTCAACATATTCAAACAGAACTCATTCCCCCATATTCCCTTACATCTCCCATTACCCATCTTTGGTTTTCTTTCCTACTTACACTTCCGACAGCTAAGCAATTAGCAAATATTAACAATATATGACCTAAAATTTTCTTTTTTTCCTCCCTACCACCATTTCACTACCGTAACTATCTGTCCTGCCTTCATCCTTGTCACCCTCACATCCATCCTCTAGCCTGCTGCTACATTAAGACACCAAAATTGTATATCTAACTAAACCACTTTTCCTGCTTAAGATTATTCTGTGGTTTTTCCTTTAGCTCAGCATGTAGTCTATGCTCCATAACATGGCATACAGGACTGGACCCTGCCTATGTAGCAGCCTAATCTTCTGCCATTTCCCTTACTGCTTGTATGTTCCTGCTCAGCTGTTTGTTATCTCATTGCCTCTGCTCAAGCTGGGGCCTCCATCTAGAATGCCAATACCTTCTCTTGCCCAGGTTCTCCATATGTCACCACCTCCTGCAAGTCCTCCCTGCCCCCAATAAATTATAAGTTGCATGCAACAACAGTTTGATTCCCTCTCAATCCTCAGTGCCTAACACAGTGCCTGACATGAAGTGAGTTGAATGAATATTGGTTCACTTTAGTAACGCTCGCTATGCCCATTCAACAAATACTACTTAGTTGAATCTCACTGTGGAGAGTACTTATTTCTAAGCATAGAGATATGTAGATACAACAGTATCACTAATCCCAGTGATAGGGTTTATGTCATGGGCTTAGCTCTGAAAACTTTGTTAAGCTAGCCCCTATGTGTCAGTACCCTTGTCTCTTTGTATTATGTTAAAATTTTGGATTTCCTGGTTACTTTAACAAGATACTGATCTTCTAACATGCAATTAATTATAATTTCTTAAGTAGAATGACCTAACCATATAAATTATAATTCCAGTTCTGACATGATGACCATAAATGTATATTTGGAGATCTTTTTCCAATTTAAAAAAATATATATGGCTAAATTAACTCCCACAGATCTGAGATTATAGAAACAGAAATAATGAAATGTCTCTTGAAAGTATTAAGTGTTTCAGAAATACTATACATCTCAGGGATATAACAGTATCACTTTTTTCTTCATATTTTTTAGGATAAATATTTGGATCCAGTGTATTGAAATACAGAAAAAATTATATCACATGAGATTTTTTCCCTTATTTATTAGACTCTTTATATTACTCTTTATATTACTTAAAATATTTATTTACTCTTGATGTTGCACCTGTGTAGAAGTTAGTAGAGATGACAGATTACCAATTCTCAGAGACTCATAAAATTTTCTCATTAAAATTAATCTGAAAAAGCTGGAGTTGCCAGATTATAGAATTGAAAAAGATGGCCAAATTTGCTAAACAAT